CTATCTATCTATCTATCTATCATCTATCTATCATCTGTCTGTCTGTCTGTCTGTCTATCTATCTATCTATCTATCTATCTATCATCTATCTATCATCTGTCTGTCTGTCTGTCTGTCTATCTATCTATCTATCTATCTATCTATCTATCTATCTATCTATCTATCTATCTATCTATCTGTGTATCTGCCTGCCTGCCTGCCTGCCTGCCTGCCTGCCTATCTATCTTTCTCTCTATCTTTCTCTCTCTCTCTCTATCTATCTATCTATCTATCTATCTATCTATCTATCTATCTATCTATCATCTGTCTGTCTGTCTGTCTCTCTGTCTATCTATCTATCTATCTATCTATCTATCTATCATCTATCTATCTATCATCTGTCTGTCTGTCTGTCTATCTATCTATCTATCTATCTATCTATCATCTGTCTGTCTGTCTGTCTATCTATCTATCTATCTATCTATCTATCTATCTATCTATCTATCATCTGTCTGTCTGTCTGTCTGTCTGTCTATCTATCTATCTATCTATCTATCTATCTATCTATCCATCTATCTATCCATCTATCTATCTATTTATTTATTGAATTTATAGGCCGCCCAATCCTGAAGTCTAACTGCTATTGCTATTTCCAAACTTTCAGTAGGTCAGTTGGGCCCGTTTTTTGCCCTCCCCATGCTCCGGAGCCTTTTATGGAGACCGGGGAGGGCAAAAATGGCCTCCCCTGACTTCCGGAAGGCCAAAAATCAGGTGGCCCGCGTGGGCGTGTGCACTGGAGCTGACGGCTTGCGTGTCGGCAGATATGGCTCCGTGTGCCACAGGTTCGCCATCACAGGTATAGGTGGCATCTGGCTCAATAGTTGCAATTGTTTTGGCACCCAACAACAAAAAGGTTGACTTATACTACGACTGTGCTGTACAAGGCTGAACCTTGTGGCACCCACTGCATGCCTCCCTCCAGGTAGACGTATTCCACTGAAGGCTACATGTTGAGTGTGGTTAGTCAGCCAGTTTTGAATCCATCTGGTGGTGATGCTATCTATCCTACGTTGTTCTACCTTACCAAGAAATAGATTGTGGTCTACTTCATTAAATGCCTTATTGAAGTCTAAGCATATTACGGCCAGAAGCATTTTGCGGGTCTACTAATTTAGCAGACTCCACGTCTTCAAGAAGGCTCTCCAAAGGCAGCAAGGAAGATTAGAATAAAACCAGAAGGAACAAGAAGAGAAAGGATTCGTTTACCAGATGTCCGATGCCGTCGACACTGGGGACCTGGACAGTATTTCTGGTGGGACAAATTCTGGGGATCCGTAAGTGCTGTGCTGAGGCTCCGATGGATTTATCCTTTGGGCAAAGCCGAAGTCGCAGATCTTAATGTCATCCCTGTCAGGGTGGACCATCAAAATGTTTGAGGGCTGTAGAAGTAGATACAGAAGGAACGTCAGTGTGGAAAAGAACTGAGGCATAAAACCTGCCGGCAAAAAGGGAACTCAAACTGGTTTTCCTTGCTGAAATTCCGAGATACAAGTGGTCCTCAACCACAATTGAGCCCCAAATTTCTGCATAGAAAGTTTTTTTTATTTTCCATTTTCATAGCATATAACACGCGTGGGTTTCAACCGGTTCGNACCGCTGGGAGGTATGTGGCAGTAGGCGGTCTTGAATAATAAATTCTATTAATAAATAAGTGTATTCTAATCAACTCACCCAGGAGCTGACTGAAGGATTTTTTCAATAAAACCCTTGGCTTCTTTGCTCAAATGATCCCAATCAGACTTATTCCACGAAATGATCCCATTCTGGACGTTAAGCAGGGTTGCTCGGTCATTTTCCCCAGCAAAGGGAGATTTGCAGGTCAAGCTGAGTGTTTGGAAGAAAAAAAAAGACAAAATTTTAAAATGTTTGCATCGTCACGAACCAAGTCAGTCTATCTGCAAAGAAAAGTCAGCAGATGGCTATTTCTTGGTGATAAGACCTACAGGTAATCCCCAACTTAGAACCATTTGTTTAGTATCGTTTAAAGTTGCGACAGCACTTAAAAAGTGACATGACCATTTTTCACACTTACGACCACTGCAGCATCCCCCATGGTCACATGATCAAAATTCAGAAGCTTGGCAATCGGTTTGTATTAATGACGGTTGCAGGGTCCCTGCGATTCCCATTTTGCAACCTTCTGATAGATAAAGTCAGAAGGGGAAGCCAGATTCACTGTTTCATTAAGTTAACAACTGCAGTGATTCACTTAACAACTGTGCCAAGAAAGATTGTAAAATGAGTTAAAAACCCATTTAACAATTGTCTTGCTTAGCAACTGAAATGTTGGGCTCAATTGGGGTCATAGGTTGAGAATGTATGTGTAATATGACAAAATTTTCATACGCTTACCTTAAATAGCTAATAACCCCAACTGGCCTATAAAAAAAGAAACAGATATTAGAAAAGAATCTCAGCTCCCATAAAGCCTTGATGGACCAACCTTCCATGGATCTGGTGCCCTGGAACAAATGTGGCAAATTTAAGATGGGCGGCTAGAATTCCCAAACCAACATCTTCAAGTTGCCAAGATTGAGAAACCTGACCATGAAGGATGATCTGGTTTCTTCTACCATCAGAGGAATCTTTCACTGTTCCTTCATTTCTCAACGAGATGGAGCCATGAACCAGTAAATTCATGGAGATCAATTCCAAAAGACAAAGATTATAACCTAGAACAGTGATGGAAGGAACTTCTGAAGTCTTCTAGTCCAACCCCTTGCTCAAGGCAGGAGATTTTATACCATCCTGGTCAAATGGCTGTCCAAACTCTTCTTGAAAACCTCCAGTGATGGAGCACCCATAACTTCTGGAGGGAAGCTGTTCCACTGGTTAATTATTCTCACTGTCAGGAAGTTTCTCCTTATTTCCAAGTTGGATCTTCCTCTGATGAGCGTCCACCCATTACTTCTTATTGCCCTCTGGTGTTTTGGATATTAGGTTGACCCCCTCTTCTCTGTGACAAGTATTGGAAGAAAGTTATCATGTCTCCTCTGATTCTTCTCTTCGATAAGCTAGACATACCTAGGTCCCTCAACCATTCATCCTACAAATTTAGTGTCTAGACTCTTCATCATCTTTGTTGCTCTTCTCTGCACCCTTTCTTGGGTCTCAACATCTTTTTTGTATCATGGCGACCACCACTGGACACAGTATTCCAGGTGTGGCCTCACCAGTGCAGTATAAAGTGCAGTGCAGTATCACTTCTTGTGATTTTGATGCTATCCCTTTGCTGATGTGTCTCAGGACTGCATTGGTCCTTTTGGCAGCTGCAACACACTGCTGGCTCACACTCAAGTGGTTGTCCACTGGTACACCTAGATCCCTCTAACAGTTGCAACTATTGAGCCTACCAGAAATCGCCGAGGTGGTGCAGTGGTTAGGGTGCAGTACTGCAGGCCACTTCAGCTGACTGTTATCTGCAGTTCAGCGGTTGTAATCTCACCGGCTCAAGGTTGACTCAGCCTTCCATCCTTCCGAGGTGGGTGAAATGAGGACCCAGACTGTGGGGGTGATATGCTGACTCTGTAAACCGCTTAGAGAGGTCTGAAAGCCCTATGAAGCGGTCTGTCTGTCTGTCTGTCTGTCTGTCTGTCTGTCTATCTATCTATCTATCTATCTATCTATCTATCTATCTATCTATCTATCATCTGTCTGTCTGTCTGTCTGTCTGTCTATCTATCTATCTATCTATCTATCTATCTATCATCTGTCTGTCTGTCTGTCTGTCTGTCTATCTATCTATCTATCTATCTATCTATCTATCTATCCATCTATCTATCCATCTATCTATCTATTTATTTATTGAATTTATAGGCCGCCCAATCCTGAAGTCTAACTGCTATTGCTATTTCCAAACTTTCAGTAGGTCAGTTGGGCCCGTTTTTTGCCCTCCCCATGCTCCGGAGCCTTTTATGGAGACCGGGGAGGGCAAAAATGGCCTCCCCTGACTTCCGGAAGGCCAAAAATCAGGTGGCCCGCGTGGGCGTGTGCACTGGAGCTGACGGCTTGCGTGTCGGCAGATATGGCTCCGTGTGCCACAGGTTCGCCATCACAGGTATAGGTGGCATCTGGCTCAATAGTTGCAATTGTTTTGGCACCCAACAACAAAAAGGTTGACTTATACTACGACTGTGCTGTACAAGGCTGAACCTTGTGGCACCCACTGCATGCCTCCCTCCAGGTAGACGTATTCCACTGAAGGCTACATGTTGAGTGTGGTTAGTCAGCCAGTTTTGAATCCATCTGGTGGTGATGCTATCTATCCTACGTTGTTCTACCTTACCAAGAAATAGATTGTGGTCTACTTCATTAAATGCCTTATTGAAGTCTAAGCATATTACGGCCAGAAGCATTTTGCGGGTCTACTAATTTAGCAGACTCCACGTCTTCAAGAAGGCTCTCCAAAGGCAGCAAGGAAGATTAGAATAAAACCAGAAGGAACAAGAAGAGAAAGGATTCGTTTACCAGATGTCCGATGCCGTCGACACTGGGGACCTGGACAGTATTTCTGGTGGGACAAATTCTGGGGATCCGTAAGTGCTGTGCTGAGGCTCCGATGGATTTATCCTTTGGGCAAAGCCGAAGTCGCAGATCTTAATGTCATCCCTGTCAGGGTGGACCATCAAAATGTTTGAGGGCTGTAGAAGTAGATACAGAAGGAACGTCAGTGTGGAAAAGAACTGAGGCATAAAACCTGCCGGCAAAAAGGGAACTCAAACTGGTTTTCCTTGCTGAAATTCCGAGATACAAGTGGTCCTCAACCACAATTGAGCCCCAAATTTCTGCATAGAAAGTTTTTTTTATTTTCCATTTTCATAGCATATAACACGCGTGGGTTTCAACCGGTTCGTGGCGGTCCCCGCGAACCGGTTGGTCGGCGAACCCAGAAGTAAGTAACTTCCGGGAACGGCAAAGGGCCCACCCGCCCGCCCGCACTTCTTACCTGGTTTTGACGAGTTCTGCGCTTCCACGCATGCGCAGGACGCATACAGCGCCTGCGCGATCCTCCAGGAGCAGCTGGAGCATCGTGCTAGTACGCATGCGTGCACCGCACGCGTGCACGAGGACGCCGCCGGCCCCGTTCCAACCGAACCGGTTGGAACGGGGTGAGAAACC